TCATAAATACATGGAAATGCACTTTTAACTGCAGATCTAGCCTATCTAACTTCTATAACATTGCATATGCCCTGAAAGAAAGCTTCTGGTATTTCCAACTAAAAGTCACAGGGCAGCTACTCTATCTTTTTTTTTTTTAAACCACAAAAATCTGTTTTCAGGGAAAATGTAGAAATGGTGAGAGTGACATGGAAAAGTGACCACCTTTCTTCCAAATCAAAGATAAAAATTTATGTAACACAACATTTTGTCCTGTAGCATAAAGGCTTGTGACTGGTGCTTTCAGCCCTTCCTCCAGCCTTTGGGAGATAAATCAATCTTATACATGATAAACAAAATCAAACTTTATTTTAAAAATGTAATTCAAAAGACATGATATCGAAAACTCGATTTACAAAATATGTGCAATGTTCTTGGCAGATCACAAGATGGTCCTCAACCAGGACTGCTATAAATGAATGATTTTATACCTCAGCTCCCAAGAAATTAATTAAGAGAAATTTATATCTTGAATTCAATTTAAAATGAATGCAGAAAAATATAACTTAACACAATGTCTAATTAAAGCAGCTACCTACTTCTTAGAGACAACTTGAATTCTGAAGCAAAGCTTTCTGGTTCTTTGCCTTTGGACCTCCAGCAACTTCTTGGCTTAATTGCAAACATTTATCAGAGCTGCTGGGGAGATGCTACATTCCACTTGTTTCTCCAGCTCAGACACAAAAACATCTAGCTCCATGTCTCCAGAGTACTATATTTGTATTTTAAAAGAACAAAACTTTTTCTTTGTCAAGTAGGGGAGGGGTTGAGAGAATCTCCCAAGCCTCCTTGCCTGGGAGTAGGTGTGTATTCCAACTTAGACATGGTGTGGCAGTTAGACTGGCAGCGAGGCTGCAGTATTGACAATGAGGCTGGTTATTCAAAACACCTCCCACTTTAAAAGTAGACTAAGGAGTCAAAGCTGCTTTGAAATCACCCTACATCTCCTGAAAGTTCTTATGGGAAATATTATACAGAGAAAATGAAACAAGATAACATATACACGCTATCCTTCCATTATTTGATCAACTTTTCCTCTACAGTCCACTATGATCCACTGACTTCCTCAAAGGAATCTCTGGGCAGCACATCTAGCACTGTGTTCATCCTCCCTGAAATTTATTTAATCTTGAAATCATACTCCTAGGGCAAGACTCCAGTGTACAAACTTCTTGTGTTAGACTTATTTTAGCCACTTCAATGTAACATGGGCAGTTCTGCATTCAAAACAATGGCCCCACAGGTAATGTGGTAATGGCTTAGCTTCTCAAGGAGACAGACAACAGCCTCACATTCCTTCTCTGATGCAAACCAATGTGATTCCCTGACACTTTATCATCAGGAGATCCCCAGATAAAGAGCTTGGTTTGCACCCACTTGCATTAACTCTGTCTCACGACCCCTTACTGAGGCATCAATGGCATAACATATGAGGCATAACATAGCAAAGTCTGGAACTCGTAATATCACACGACTGCTGAGGACTCTTTCAGCTGTTCAAATGCAACCCAGCACTCCTCAGCCTACACACCACACTGGGTTCGTTCTTGTGAGTTGACTTCCTTGGTACAAACTCTAGTAACTGGCTAATCCGAAGAAAAACCACGTCTACTTTTTTCTTGTTGGGACAGACCATTCCTAGATAGACTGTTCCTTTCCTACCAAAGGTGATATAACAAAATGGCCTACCCAACGATCTGGTTCAGGTCAATTGTGAATATCTTGGTTTTGATAGTAAATCTGGTATTCCTGATATACTACGAAACCATTTCTAGGTGTTCTAGCTGCTGCTTTCAGGTAGTTGAAAAGATGGCCACATTACCTAAATACACCATGGCAAAACCATTTAGGGAGAGCCAGTCTGGTACAGTAGTTAAGATACCAGCTTTGAAACTGGCAGACTGTGAGTTCTAGTCCCGCCTTAGGCACAAAGCCAGCTGGGTGACCTTGGGCCAGTCACTGTCTCTCATCCCTAGGAAGGAGGCAAGGGCAAACCACTTCTGAAATCTTGCCAAGGGAGTAGGGACTTGTGCAAGCAGTTGTCACGAGACAGACTGACTTGAAGCCACCAAAAGAAGGAAGCCATTTAAATCCATGAGCAGCTCAGGGACCAGTTTTTGGAAAGGCCAAGCAGGAACTTGTTAAATTCAAACACCTTATGGAGAAGTCAGCCTACATCATGCACCACATCACTTTCTGCCAAGGGCCTTTGCCAGTATCCTTTGGCTACTCCAATGTATTTGGCTCTCCAAAGTTGCTCCAGCAGGTCATCAGTGCAAGGCACAGGAGAGCTGTTTGACTGTTTTCTTATGAAGTTTTCTGTAGACCATACAGAAACATCTTTCTTCCCCAGACATTGATGACAAAGATGACTGAGGAGGCTCATGCTAATTCTAAGGTCTAATTCTGTGCCATCTAATGGATGTTGGGATCCTGGGTGAGTGGGCCTATTCTCTGCTACCAGAGGTACTTGGCCTTCCACCTTCAGCCTGTATCTGAACTCAGTTCCTCACTCCAGCTGATCCCTTATGTCAGGATCAGGACGTCCATTCTCAGCTGATTCTTGAGCCTTCTTGGTAGCTCTTCCATATGTGTTCTGCTCAATCATCCCTAAATAGCAGGGCATAGGGATGATCCTCCATCATTGCAAAATTCCATTCCAGTGTTTCCACTGAAAAGATAGCTTTTCAGTGGAAGGGCTATATCTACTTGTCCCTTGACAAAGTACTGTCTTGACATGTGAGGTGTATACAGTAGAGACTGCAGCTCTGGTGTCTCTCCAAATCACTACAGGATGCCCATCCAATATCACATTCACTTGCCTTACTGGGTAAGGGGGTAGACTACTCTCTTGAGAAAGTCTTTACCAGACAGTTCTTCTGGCCCATGACTTGTAGATGCAACCTGGTTTATTTTGGCTTTCACTTTAAGACATTCGTGATTGGTCAGGTTTCCTCTCATCTTACAAATACTTGGAGGTAGTCAGACTGATACATTTCCATGGGCCCCAGAAGTCTGGAACCCACTAGCTTCTGGATATCTCTCCAGCTGCCTCCGTGGTTTTAGGTCCCAAGTGGAAGACTTCATTATAGACCCAATCAGATCACAGTTTGAACCACAAACTGTTCAAATTGTGTCAGTTCTCTGTTTACCTTGACTGCATTGGCTCCCGCACATTTGAACCAGTATATGGTCTTTTCACTCTGTGTGCAAAGGAGTAAGTCTCCTTCCGCTGCAAATTCCTGAAATTCCTTCTGAAGCTTTCTGGTGGGGAGGGGTTGAGGGAATCTCCTGATGCCTGTGGGAAGGTGTATATTGAAACTTGGCTGCTGTCTATCATTTAGACTGACAGAGAGGCTATAGTACAGTAATGCAAGCTAGCTATTCAAAAAATACTGTTTCTTATGACATTTCCACATTTTCATTTAAGAGTCCTCAGGAAGGAAACTAAAGAAAACTTATTTCTGACACTTTTACAATGTGGGCTGTGGAATAAACCCTACTGGCAGAAAAAGAGGCTGTTTTTCTTAGACCATATTGTATGTAGCAGAACTAAGCGATTTGGTGCTAGCTACCAGTCTGGCTGGCTTCAAAAAACAGTTGGACCAATTCGTGGGAGTCATGGGGATCAAGGGCTATTAGCCTGGATGGCACTGCCTCTGAAGGGCATCTGCCAGGAGACTAGTGGGCTTCCACAGATAGCTAGTTGGCCACTGTGAGAGCAGACTGCCACACAAGATGGGCCAGGAATCTGATCCAGCAGAGCACTGGTTACGTTCTTATCCTTAGAAAGGGACTTCACCATTTTTTAGTTTGAAGAAATACCAAGCAATTCTTTCAAATGTGCTCTTTTTTTCTTTTTCTTAAGGGTAAGCTACCTAAAGTTAATTGGAGGTAATTATCTCCTACGTTGCAGAGATAGATAGAGCCATTTGGAAAGAGCACAAGCATACTCAGATCCTCAGCGCAAGATCATGTTCCATACTTATGCTGCTAAACTGAGGCATGCAATGCCATGTTATCCTCAATAAATCCAAAGAATCAACGCCCACTTACTCACAGGAAATGAAGCCAGGCAGGCCTTCCCCGGGGTCAGATAAAGCAGCAGAGCCTTCAAAGAAAGAAAAGCTGAAGCAGCAGGGCAACATCCACGTTGAAAGTAGTTCTCAACACGCGCTCTCCAACCCACAACTGCCTGGATTAAAATAGTTTTCCTTCCTCTTAGAGGGCGGGGAGGGACCGTTTAAAAGCAAAGAAAGTTTGCGGCTTGCACGGCTTCTCGGGGCAACACTGCGTGCCATTTCTGCAATCAGCCAGAGGTGAATCACCAGAGACGCTACGCTACAGTTTCAATACCCATCTTTTCTCGCTTGGAACACACAAAGTTCTCTTTCTTTCTTTCTCTCTCTCTCTCTCTCTCTCTCTCGCACCCTCCCTCCCTCCCTGGCTGCTAAAATAAGAAGTCGTCAGCTCGCTTCCTCAAGGACCTGCCTCGGAGTCATACATATTTTAAAGAAACCTATTTTCTGACCCTTCCCAGATTGCATCTCTCGCAGACTCTCGGCCGCACGCACATATCTACACGCATACCCAGGCGCGGGCACTCCCCCTCCCCCAAATCGGGCCGAAAGACAAGAGGGCGAGCGAAAAGAGTTGGGAGCGGGAGCGGCAATGAGGATCTCACTCCATTTGCACAGGTTTCCCCCCACCCAATCGCAACTGCTTCGATTACGGCCGAGAGCGCAGCCAGGGGCTTGGACGGCCGCTTCAGAATCCCTTTGGCGCCCAAGGGCGTCCCGCCGGCCCTGAAAGCGTCCGCGCTTTGCATCTTCTCCAACTTCTGCTACCGCCCGCCCCGCTCCCCTCGTCGGATGCCTTCCTTCGGCGCGCGCGCGCCACCCGCTTTCTCGAGCGAGCGAGGCGAGAAGAAGCAGAAAGCGGGCGGGGGGAGGGTGCCGTACCTTGTTCGTGCAGCTCGCCTCAGCAGACTGGAAGTTAGCAGGAGAAGATAGAGGGCTGTCTGAAGCTCAGCCAAACGCAATCACACCCTCTTGCGAGCCAGCCTTCGCCTGACATCAGCACGAAGGAGTTCCCTCTCGACTTGGCTCTCGCGCTGTGTACCTTCAACGTGCACCTCTGGAGGGTGGAGACGGCTGGCCAAAAGAGCACAGCTGCTTTCACGGAGAAGAACGGGCCGTTCCAAGGGTGGGCCTTGAGCTGAAATTAGCCCCACGGTTTTAAAGAGCACACCTATCTCTTAAGAATGAGGAATGGGGAGATGGCCCGGAGGCTCTCCCCGTGGCTTCAATATTATTCCTTCGATTGCCTCGCCCCAATTCTTTCGCAGTCCTTTCACATCCAGGCTTACACAGTTCAGTTGTCTATGAAGAAGTTTTCACGGAGATCACAAGAACAAAAGGGAGAGGGAAAGTTACGTGAAGCGTTCTGGAGGAAAAGAGCATCCCAGCTTGGTGATTTTCACAGATTATCTTTGGAGTCTTTTCCACAAAAATAGACTGGTGTTTCTTCTGCAGATAATTCTATCCTTCCTTAGGGTGCACCAGAATCTAGAAGATGCAGGTGGGGACTATTGCTTCACCAGAGCTAAATCTGCTCCCATTTGGACAGCATGAGAAAAATCGGTTTTGAATGACCCTGATAAGCTTCTTGTGTTTCCAGAAGCTGTTTGAAAATTCCTTGTCCTTGATACATAGATAAAAATCTACCAAATCTCACCAGCAATTAAAGCAAGTAGCCAACTGTTATTAAACTCACTGAGATCATTCCACATCATCAAACAATTAATTATCATGTGTGCTAGAAACAGACTTGTACACTACATAATAAAGACTATATAGTCAAAATTGGGCTGCTGAAAACAAAAGCATCAGTGTTGGAGAAGCAAAAAGAAAAAACAAGACAAATATGGTTGGTTGTTGTAAGAAAGATGGATGGAAGGGGCTGTATCCTGAAAAAAGGCAGGTTTGCAAGCTGGAATACCAGGCAGAGCCCTCCATGTTTAAACATTTTGATGCAGAGAATCCACTTTTGTTTGTGGGTGTTCATCTAACTACCAACCACACACACACTGACACACCACATCTGTTCAGAATGGTATATTTTAAATAGCACATCATTAAAAAAAAACATGCTCAGTGTTTTCTTATTTAACTTCCTTCAAATCCACTGAAAGGTATTAGTGGGTGTGCTCCTAGATCATGTTAGACGCCAGCTTTCCTGTACCTGGCTGCCTCCAGACATGTTGGGACTGCTAATCCCAGAATTCCTGGCCAGCATAGGAGTGACTAGGGGAGTTGCAGTCCCAATTCATGTGAAGGGCACGAATTAAAGAGGGCCATGTTAAGCATACTGAGGTTTGGTTGGTGTGCTGTGAGTCTATCCAACTGCAGATTTCACAACAAATCACAGTTAAAACAAATCATGCTTTAGGACAATACACAAACCTAAGCAGTTTCTCAGGACTGATTCAAGATACAAAGTTGGGAGCTTATTAAAAACATATTGTATATATATTTAACATCCCACTTTGACAATGATGGCTATATAAATTAGTCTGACACAAAGCTGGATTGCTAACACATCCAGTAAGGACTGTGCTTGAAAGATTAGGACTAATTTTCATTACCAGCCCATACAGTGTACAATCTACAGCTTTGGAGGCTATCTATCTATCTATCTATCTATCTATCTATCTATCTATCTATCTATCTATCTATCCATCCATCCATCCATCCACCCCCCCCCCTCAACAAAACAACAGTCTGTCACCTACAGACCAATTTTACACCAATGGTTCTCTTCCAAACATAGTTATATCTTACTGGCCGAAAGAAAATAATTTGATTTCCTGAAATTTCACATTCTATTTTACAGTTCCCATTGTGTCTGCAGCACTGCAAATTTGTGAACCTTACACATTATGCCTATAACGTGGTCATGGAAACTGCTGGCTCCTTCTTCCAGGAGTGTAGATATTTGTATTAGGACAAAACAGGAGGAACTGGACACTTAGAGGCAACCTGGTCCTTACAGGAGCATTAAAATGGGACTAGGTGCTTGTGAAAATCTGTCCTGCAAAGGGCTCTGAACAAATGCATTCCACACACCCTGCTCACTCTTTGGCTCAGGCAGAAGTTACACCCATCACTGTTATTTGTTTGTTTCCTCCACAGGGTTTCCTTCTTGGCACAAACTTAAGCCCACAGCTAGGACAAGGCTGCTTGTGTACTTGCCTCTACCTGCTGCTAAAGGAGAGGAAGAGAGAAGAAGAAAACTTAGGCACGAGAGTAGGTGAGCGACAGGCGGATGGTGTTGACCCCCATCCTCTGTCTGGACTCCATCTGTCTGTATTCCGTTGTGCATGTACGTGTCTTTCTCAGCATTGCTACTTGGCACATGGTGGAAGGTCAAAGTACACTTGGCTGCTGGGTTTCATATCTTTAAATTACCTGTCAATACTAGATAAAAATGCATACTGGGAGGTTCTGTGAGTGACATTATTAACTATATATAATTGTACGTGTGCAAGTCGATATGAAAAATGCAAGCAGTGCCTTACTTCCCTATTTCTTTCCCTCTGTGTGTGGGGCACGCTTAGGCATCTGGGAATCAAGACGCTTTCTGCTGAGTGTGCTCTTAGCTTGCCTCGGATGGACCAGTTAAAATTCAAGGTAAAGGGAGTTGGCATCCACAGTGGCCATCCTGTGGAAGGAGGCTTGCGTGGGTGGTGATGGGGTTGCTTTGGACTCAATAATCCTGTTGATTTTTGTATAAATGCCGTGTGCCTGTTTCAACCCCTTTGTGTGAACAGATGTGATCAAGCTACAGCTGAAAAATGTTTATTTAGTTTTTATTGATTAAATATTTAACTTTTTTGTTTCATCCAGCTAGGGTCATAGAAGATTAGCATGATAAGTAATGCATTAAGATTTGCAGAGGAAGTTCTTCGCCAATCATTTTGATTAAGGCACATGTATTATGCATCTCTGTATTAAGAAAATTGTGGTTTTGGAATGCCCGTTCCAAGGATATACAATTTATATTGATTCTGTATTTTCTCACTCCAAATGAAACATGTCTGTTGCCCAGATATGTTGACATTTCATAGTATATATGAATGTGCTTTAAAAGATGTAGGTCAGAACATTGATCCATTAATGGGCCTTCTCCAACCAACAAATAATAGTCTTCCCTATATTTTCTATAAGAGAGTACTATAAATGGCAATAAAGAAAGAACAAGGCCTCTTTAGAACTTTCCAAACCAGGAAAAAAAATTATGCTTGAATTGGCTTTGTTTTCACAGTAATGTGCAATATTATCTGAATGAATCTAGGATGGTAAAACTGGAAGCACCTGCTTGCTATGTCAGTCCAAGCCAATAGATGCTCCATTCATCCAGACCAACTTAGTGAGCAATGGAAAGTGGTGCAGTTTTGCAAATACTCAAGTTGCAATCCTATACACATTTATCTGAGAGCAAACATCAACATATATCTTATTTTCTGAATAGACATGTGTCACCTTGGAAGTATCTATAGGCTTACAACATCAGTAACTAACTTCCATCAGTAAATTGCTCCTGTATGGTTGAAATACTAAGCACACACTGCTTATTAAAGAGAAAATCCTTCTGGATGATGTTGGGATTATTTCTGAGTAGGTATGCTTAAAATTGGACTACAGGTAGTCCTCACTTAAAAACCATTCGTTTAGTGACCATTCGAAGTTACAGCGGTGCTGAACAAAGGGCCCTACAACTGGTCCTTGCACTTACAACCATCACAGCACCCCTGCAGTCACGTGATCATGATCCAGGCACTTGGCAACCAGCTTGCATTTACAACAGTTGCAGCATCCCAGGGTCACGTGATTGCCATTTATGATCTTCCCAGACAGCTTCCAGCAAGCAAAATCAATGGGGTACTGTGTGATTTGCTTAACAACTGTGTGATTCGCTTAACACCTGCAGTGATTCACTTAATGATTGCTGCAAAAAAGGTTGTAAAATTGGGCGAAACTCACTTAACAACCATCCCACTTAATGAATTTTCTGGTCCCTGTTGTGGTTGTTAAGTGAGGACTATCTGTATAAGAGTCTTTCTGAGTTTCATCCTAAAATCTTAGCCAGGTAATATTCTGGAAGGAACTCTAGCTATTCACAATGTGGCGTATTTTGCCATGATCTATGGTTTGAAATATATTCTGTTGTGAATTATTATATCCTTTATAACTGTGAGCCACTAAAGGGATAACTCTGGGAGGACACACACTTACAAACAAATTAAGTAGTCCACATCTCCTAATGGACCTGAGTTTTGCACTTCTGAAGGCTGGTATCAAGAGTTGTCCTATTTTGGGGAGAGAAGAAGGGAGAAGGTACAACTTCACCATTGTTCCTGAAGCTGGTAGATGAAGAGCTAGTATTGCTGTGACACTGAGCCTTTTCTAGAGAAATCAAGCTGGCCCTGCTTATAACTCTTCTACAGGTCTGGAGTGGTTGTTTGTTGTTGTTTAACGCAGTTCACTTCATTGCAGAGACTGCTGAACTGACTATTTATAGTCGGTGATCTTTCTTAGCCCTGTTGATGTAATCCCACAAGTCTCAAGAGACAAAATTTGCTTCCATGGGACTGGTGACAACTCAGTCAGGTTGTAACTGAAATTGTTAGGCTTCATTATGTGGTCAGTCTGGTTATTTTCCCTTCCCCCACCCCCACACTGGAGGTGATTTCTTTAAGATAGTTAACTTGGTTTCCTTCTTTCTGGTGAGATAGGATCTGCTGGTGCTATACCCAGATAAGGGGATGCCTGGAGAAGAACTCCCTCCCACTTATGATGTCATAAATGCTGCATCTGGAATTTCCCCTTTGAAGGCTGCAGATGTCGCCTCTGTCTGTTAAATATGTGTGGGCGGGAGGTGTTGGTACTGCGGTTTGTAAACAGTCACATACACAGAGACACTTGCAGCCCACTCAGCAGTTAAATTTCTCGATCCAATTACTATCATTAGCTAATTAATCCTTCCAGCCCCACATCTCAATGGCAAGAAAAT